TTAAGGGTAATCTAAACGAAATTTACTATTATTTAAAGAAAACTTCATAAATGATAATTTAATCTTTCTTAATTATGTTAGATTGCATCCTTCTTGTTCTGAAGATTTTATAACGATACTCGAGTTCTTTTCAGAAGATGGTAACGGGTATTTTTTCAAGTAATTTCTTCTCTAAATTTCGTAGCGAGCGTTTTGCGCGTTCTGCCAGGATCGGATTTGGGGGCTAGGTCGGCAGGGATTCAAGTGCATCCAATGCAAGCTGCTAGTACACAAGAAATGTCACAAGGTGGTACGCAAGCCATGCTTGAGTGTGCAACAACAACAACAACAACAGATACCAAGCACAGAATCACAGACGATCGACAGGAACGGCGATCAACAACAGCTTGATTCTGTTCAATGCAGCCCAGTAGCTCATCTCGAGGATGAGATCTCAGAGTCGCCAATTATTGAGGAGCATTCACGCAATCGTAAGAATATTTGGATACTTAGTTGGAAATTGAAAAAGAGAACGCAGTCTCTTCTCTTGTATTTCGAAAATACAGATAATTATAAAGGGAGATCTTGAATTTGATGATCTAAAAGGTCAGGTAAAAAAAATTTTAAATAGACGGCCAATGACACTTTAAATGTAAGCGAAAAAAAGAAACGGTAGAAGAAAATTTTGTGTAATTTTGTTGGTTATAGGTATCACAGAGCGAGGTACGTTTCGAAGCTTATATTTAAAAATGATTCCTATTAATCCGATTTTCGAATGCACGTGTAATATCGAGATGTTCAAGATAATTATTGGACACTACGATTACTTGTTTGAAAATTTAGAAGAAAACATTTGCAAGATTTGTTGCTCAGAAGTTCGTTACAATTTAATACTAATTAGTTTTACGTATTGTTAATGATTTATGATATCAATAGTCTTGTGTTCTATTGTTAAAAATGTTTAACGAAATATTCAAGCAAAAAATTGATATTAATCCGTAATTTTTATATTTCTTCGTACAAACAGATGAACTTTCATTATTTGAGCGATATTGCAAAATAAAGTAAAACTTAAGTCTGACATCGATTTATAGAACTATGTATTTTTATAGGAACCGGAAGTGAAGAAAGGGAGGAGTTACCGCTGGATACGTTAAACGATGCGGATAATTCGAATGATATGCAAAGGCAATACTCATTAAACGATTTCGAACTGATTAGGGTAATCGGTCGTGGTTCCTACGCAAAAGTTTTGATGGTAGAATTGAAACGTACGAAGAGGATTTATGCGATGAAAGTGATCAAGAAAGCCTTAGTAACAGACGACGAAGACATCGATTGGGTTCAAACAGAGAAGCACGTATTCGAAACGGCCTCAAATCATCCTTTCCTCGTGGGACTTCATTCATGCTTTCAGACACCCTCACGTCTGTTCTTCGTGATCGAGTTTGTGCGCGGCGGTGATCTAATGTTCCACATGCAAAGACAACGCCGTCTTCCGGAAGAGCATGCTCGGTTTTACGCAGCCGAAATTAGTCTCGCCTTAAACTTTTTACACGAGAAAGGTAAAGGGAACGTCTTCAGCTATTTCCTGAAGGCTAACTGTAGATGAATTTTAGTATTCTATATAATATTTTTATATTATTTTAATAGATGAAT